CCGGGGCGCGGCACCCTGGCGCTGCTGGGGGCGCCGGCTCCCGGCGGAGGCACCCCCAAGGTCGCTGGAGTGACCAGCCGCCCCTGCTCCCTCCCGCGTGACCCCTGCCCTCCTGGGCTACTCCCTGGCTTCCCAGCCAGCTCACTCGCTCGCTCGCTGGCTCGTCGAGGCCCTGGAGTTGTTGGGGACGGCCCGGGTCACCCTGAGGCCCCCGGGTGCTCAGATCACACACAGACGCCCGCCGCGGTCACTGCTTGGTCCGCCTGGCCCCCAGAGGCCGCCCACCCAAGGCCACACCGGCGGCTCGGGCAGGAGGCCTCTCCGGAAGCGGGGGTCAGCGCTTCCCTGTTGCGCTGTCCGAAGGGGGTCGCTTCTGCAGCAACCCAAGCCCCGGCCAGCGCCCCCCCGCCCGCCTGGCTGGCCCCCAGCCCCTGCCCGGGCCGGCTCCGGGCTGCGCCCCAGGGGGAGGCCGCTTCAGAGCTGGCGCCGGCCACCGTTCTTCCTCCCAAGTGAAGGTGGCCGCTTCCTGCGCTGGGCCGCGTGGAAGGCCCGGGAACAGGGGGGCCGTGGCCGCCGGACCCCGCTGGCAGGGTGGTGCTGAAGGGCGAGAGGCAGGAGCAGAGGCCTCCGCCAGCCGCTGTTTGAGCGCCGCAGGCAGCTGCGGAACAGCCCGTGGCCAGAGGACCGTCCACGCCGCTGCCCCTGGTCCAGGGTAGCATCTTCCTGGAGCCCTCCTTGCTTAGGGGAGAGGGGGCGCTTCCGCCCGCAGGCACTAGGACCCATGTTTTGACGCCCCCCCTCCGGGTGAGGCACGGCCAGCTGTCTAGAACCTTCGATGCTTCGAGGCTGTCCAGCAAGCTCCGGCGGGGTCAGCAGGAACGGCCCCTGCGGGGGTGGCTGCCCCCCTGTAGCCGCTCTGGGGGCTGGTCAGCGGCAGAGCCTGGTCTCCGTTTATTCTTCTGAAACAGCGTAACTGGCGCTGGCCGCAGTGTCTCGCGCGGGGAAGCTCGGAGGTGGCCACGGAGGGACAGGGCGGCGCCTCAGCGCCCCCGCGCCAAGTCAGGGCCGGCGCAGAGCGCGTGGTAAGCTGGACGAAGACAGCAGCCGTTGTTGTTTGTCTCCGCCGGCAGGCACGACCTAGCCGGTCAGCGTGCCGCCTGGGCAGCAGGGCAGGCCGGCTGGGCGGGCTGGGCGGCTCGGACCGGCCCCTGCGCGCAGATGCCGAGCGCAGCGCCACCTCGCGGCTCCCCGTGC